AAAAAATTTATATCTTTATGTTTGAAGCCTGAAATGTGGCAAAAGGTTGAAAAGTTCAAGGGGGCCGAATACTTTCGCAAGGCACTGTAATTCAGTCAGACCACCATCTAAGGTAATACAGGGCCTGAATTTTTATCACAAAGATCGTAGGTTATCTGTCCCCATTAAATCTTCAAGTAAGAAGGTTAAAGTCTTTGAATATAAGCAAAAGAAAAATGAAGAATGCTCCCAAATTTCTTAGATATCTCATCAAAGTTATCAAATTTCAACTAGGACCAGTAAAGAACTCATAAGCAATGCCAGCGAAATTGAGGCAGGCAGGCTGGCCAAAGAAAAATCACCAGTTTCCTTACACTAAGGATCCAGACTGACTGGATTTTGTGCTTCCAATGACACTCAGAGAGTGAAACATACTGTAGTTGTTTTCAGAAACCTGCATTCTTGCATTCTACCATGAACCATGTTCTGCAATTCTCTCAGCTTTCACTTTCGAATGCTGAACTGCCATTCAATGTATTAAGAACAAGCCTGTCACCTAGTTTACTGAATGAGCACAAGGAAATATACAAACTCCTCAGTCCATTGATCAAATAATGAGTGGAAGGTCAGCCATGCCCTACAATGCATGAAGAGGAGTGCTATCAGTTACTGTTGCTGGGCTGGAGGAAGCCTGCATAAAACAGGACAGATTGAAGGCACTAAATGATGTCCAGGACTGCTGTTGTCAAGCTGACCACAAACAAGAAAACGACACAGAAAGCAAAGAGAATGTGTGGTCCTCAGGGACCTGAGTCTGACACCAACCAGTGATGGGAAGACTGAGAAAAGGAATCAGATACTGAGCAACATAGGAAAAGAAAGGGACACCAGTGAAGACTGTTCTGCACCTGAACTTTTACTTTAAAAAAATAATGTTTGTTTAGCTCAAAGCTAGGGCAAAGAAGCAGGATCGCTGCTCAGGTTCTGTCACTAAAAGGTAAATTCATTTGAAAAAGTACTGGTGATATTCTGTAAATGTTCGAAAGAGAACCGCTTGTTTCAGTTTACTCCTGTTTCTGAGTGTACCTAGCCTCAGCCTGTACGAACCATAGTACCACAATCCCCAGTGATGCTACAACACTTACATCCTAATCAATCAGAGCTTCTAGAGTTTCACCAGACCATGGTGCAGCATGGGGTCATGAAACCAACCCAAACCACCACAAAACAGCATTTACTGGGAAATGGCAAGAATCAGATAATGCCTGTGGGAAAAGTTCTTAAATGTCTCCTTTTTTTAGAAGTTAACACTTTTTGATTCTTTCTTTAGCTAACAGAAGCACTGCATCCACCTTTGGGAAATAACCATTGTTCGGTGGCCTTTTTCGATCTTTTTATTCTTGAAGTTCAAGTTCTGCAGTCTGACCTTTCAGACTTGAATCAAGCCAGTCTCGATTCACCTCAATAATCAATACAAGCACAATACACTCTGAAGATATGGATCTTTTCTTCTTTGCATACATAAGCTTAAAATGTCAGTCTTTATTAAGGCGCATCATCATAGCGTGTCGCAATACGGTGGATTTAGACCTCTCATTTTGCCTGTTTATCTTGCAATTGAGCTGGGTTGCTATATATTCCTCAGTCTAAATTGATCTTTTACAATATGTGAAGTGATCAACAAAGGTTTAAATGATCAAGTTAATAAACCCAGGCTTTACAACTCTTCATTCAAGTAGTTCATACTGTATGTTACTTTTCCACCTCATTTATTTAAAAGCCTACATTCCAGCCTGACAAACGTACCTCAAATTGTTTGACAACAAGAGAGAAAGCCAGAGATTTCTGACAGCACTCCTCCAGCAGGGCCATGTTCCTGTCATACTGGGTGATGTATGGGGTGAAGATGTTGAACTGCAGCCTCCGGGAAAGCAGGACATCAGCAATCCTCTGATATTCCTCCCTGAAGGGAGATAAACCAAATGATGGCAACTGAATAGAGCACCAATGACAAGGTATTCACAAAAGATTGCTTTCTAACTGTGTCATACATAGTGGGATGTCAATAATCGTCATGAAAATATGACATTTTCCAATATTTAAGCCTTTAAAGTTTAATTTAATCTCTTATCACTCTTGTTCAACATTAGGGCCATTTCCATCATTGTCAAAGGATGCTACTTTTTACAATTTAAGATATTGTCTTTATAGAATCGAACAATTATACATATAAATCATTTTACATTCATTAATATTACATTCATATAATTGATTTCATTTTTCACAGTTGAAATGGCATAGGCATGTCCTGGAAATTTAAAAAACAAACCTTTCTATATAGTTGAAGAAGACTCTGAAGAATAAGACTCCCATGTAGCATAGAATTAATATTTAAATCTGACAACCTTAAATTATTAATTAAAGTTTTTACACCGCAGAACTGTGGTAGAGATAGTCATGAAGGCTTTGGCACTTCAAGCTACAGAAAGTTTTCACTACGAGTGACGAAAGACCCAGTTCTGTGGGATCTCCAACGAAAAGAACTAAAACTAAACTAAAACTAAAAGATGTATCTGAAATATAGATTTGGGGGCAAAACGGCATATTACACATGCACAACCTACAACTAGATGCTACTAGATGCTACTAGAAAAGACTGGGTGGGAGTGGGGCCTCACTGACCAGTTTGCGATTCGGGACTCCAGATCTGAGAGGATGTCCTGATGGAACTGGTAGATCTGTGGCAGTTCGCTGAGGATCTCGCACAGCTTGTCCTCCTCCAGCACCGGGTCTCCAGCCTCAGTCACTGCGCTCATGACTGCATTTCTGAAATCCTGTGAAAACAACCAACCCAAGCTGATGTTCCCATGTGTCCAGGGCCATCGAAAGAACTATATTCCAATGTATGCAATACATTTGTGAAGGTTTTGGTGAGCAAAAACAAAACTAGTTCATTTTAACAGACCTTTTTTTTATGAACCTTCTCAAGTTTATTTCCAGTCCCACCATGGATTAAGAAAGGAATGTCTATATCAGAAACTTTTCTTATGAGTTGTCTAAAGAATGTTTATTTTTCTAATTAAGATATATTCATAAGAGTATTGACATCTTCAAGAATAAATGGGTTGCTTACTAAAAAATAAATTAAAAAAAACAATTCTCAAAAAAAAGACTGGACAGACATTTCCAAAGTGTTATTTTGAAGAAATCAGTGTAACTTAAAAGCTTCAAAATCCATATAAATTGAAAGTAACTTCACTTCCTGTAATCTTTATTGTCAACACATAAAGGATATTTTCAACACTTTGGAAACCTCTTAACATGAATAGAGCTGCAGAATAATTGAAGATGCTGGCATTCAGTTATAGGAGGCCGTGATCATCAAATATTATCCTCAAAGGCATTAACCAATTTAGTCCCACAGATTTAGTCAGAGTAAACCATGAAACAAAAAAAACAGACAGCACAAAGAGAGACTGTGTGGAAGTGAGTTTAAAAATGTGGCATTTTTTATGTACAGAGATATGAGATTATGAAACAAACTATACAGCCATATTGTAGAAACCTACTGTATACCCTGGTTTCTTTCAAGAATTAATTGGATAAGATCCTTGGATCAAATGCAGTAATAACTACTAAATAGCTTACATGCAGTAGGTCGAATGGTCTCCTCTCGTTTGTAACTGGTCATGTACACTTATTTATTATGTAGGTAGGACTGATCTTTCAATGAGTAACATTAACCTACCCTTAAATTCAGTTTTTGGTTTAAAGTTTAAAATCCCTTAAAAATGAACACTTTAACCATTAGGAAACTACAACAGAGAAATCCACAACCAATACATAATATATAAGAATATATATATTTGAAAATTAATGAGGAAAAACTCTGTTCTGTTTAGTGACTAGTCAGTACAATTTACAACCAGTATGGTCCACTATCACACTGCAGTTGAGGTGTAGACACACAAAACAGAAACTACAAACATGTCCTACAACATCAAGGAAGAGAAAGGTAGTGTAACGTTTGCTCTTCAGATAAAAAACAATATAACTTTGTATTGGCCGAAAGCGGGAAAGTGATTGACCAATTTAGATTGAAATATTAAACCAGTGATGGTAGAAACCCCTCTAACATAGTGCTTTATCTTTTTTATCCTCTGTGGCGGAATGGTGATCCTCCAATGACATTCTTCCAAATTACCTTTTGACCCCTATGAAATCAGTCATAGAGGAAACTGGTCTCACATTCTCATATCGTGTGGTGAACTATCAGGATGCACAAACTCAAATACTATGGAGGGAAAGGCAGACATAACCGGCCCAAGCTGTGATGAAAACCTCACCCACAGCCCCTTATCTCTCTGCCCCAGCCCCCGTCAGAGTGCCTGTCCTGCTCAGAGAGAGGTATGAAGAGACTACAGCACTTCAGAAGAAAAGGGTCTTGTGCAGATCTTCCAAATTTAAGATTAAATAAAGTATTCCTAATGTTACACTGAATTAATTTGAGTATTTATATGTTAATAATTTGTAAAATGACAAATATAATAAAACATACATTTAAGAAAAATAATAATTGTAATAGTTGTTCTAATCTTGACATTTAAATGAAAAATGTTGGGTAGTTTCTGTCAAAATTATAACCTACATAATATAATGCAACACATTTGCAGTTGATATTGTATTTACATTTCAAATTCTGGGACAAAATGGATGGTCTTGTTATAACCTTTCAACAAACGTCTTTGTCTTAAACTGTCAATAAACAATCTATTAACATATTATTAACAAAGTTACAAAGAACTCTAACAAAAACAAATGGAACTGCACAGAAGCCTGATGGTTAGAAGACATTAAACACTACTAGAATTCAGAAAATACCAAAATGTAAGGACATAATTTATTCAAATAATCCTAATACGTTGTTATATTATCGAGAGGGTACACTTAATAATTAACACCTACAGTACTTCACTGTACTTGTCTCCACATTCTGTAAACATCAGATCTCTATTCAGTGTGTTTTTGAGAAACACCCACTCAAAACCAGAACTTCACTTCCCAATTGGGAATGGGTGGAAAGTCTTTGTATTTTGTTATTTCATATTAAACAATAGAACAATGGCAAGCATGTTTGCTTCAAAATATCTCCAATGGTGGTCTTTTGCTGCCATGTGAGAGTAATGTTTTAAATTATCGACGGTCTGTTTCCCTTGAATCAAGTATACCCTTAAGATGTCTATTTGTGAGAGCTCCACATGATGGACAATTTACTCTGAATCAGGAAGTGCTACATGTGGTTGTTTAATTTGCTACAGAGTGAGTGAAAGTGGAGCAACTCAGAAGAAGGATGGTGAGACAAAATTGTATGCGACATTGGACATGCTTGACTCTGAAATGGAGACATCTTCACCCCTGAAAATGTTATAGAGTGCTTAGGCAGGCCAAGGTTCACCGTGTGAGTCGAATGGAACTGAGTAAGGGATTCTCCCTGTGTGAGGGCCAGCCTTCCTCAATGTTAGAATCCTTCCTGCGTGGTTCCTGCCCAAGAGGCAGCCAGTGTTTGCACAGCAGTGGAGCTGATGTGAAAGTCAGCAATAACCAACAGGTTTAATCAGCCCAGATGAGCAGCGGGAATGATTGCATCATGTCTTTCAGCAGATGTGCACTTTCTTTGACTTCCTTTTGTTTTCATTCTCTCACAGATGGTCTCTCCTGACCTGTGCCTAGCCTTGCTACAAAGCCCTCCCAGACACAGCCAGATGCATATAATGTAGAACACAGTTCCAAAAGCATCATCTGATTTTACAGCTTTCCTCAAAGTCTCTTCCACAATGAAGAACTGTACAGATATTTATGACATTAAAGACATTTATGAATCAAGGTCTTTTCCTTCTTTCTTGTTCTGTGAATCCTTTGCTGTGATTGCTCAGATTGCTCTGTGTTTTGCCTAGTGGATTTCATTCAAAGATCTTCATAATCCACACTATAATATTGTCATGTTTCTAAACATTAAATTCACTGTTCCTGTGAACTCTGTACTACTGTCAGCTATAATAATAATCATAATAATAATAATTGCTTACACTTATATAGCCCTTTTCTGGACACTCCACTCAAAGCGCTTTACAGGTAATTGAGACTCCCCTCCACCGCCACCAATGTGCAGCATCCACCTGGATGATGCAACGCCAGCCATACTGCGCCAGAACGCTCACCACACATCAGCTATCGGTGGGGAGGAGAGCAGAGTAATGGAGCCAATACATAGAGGGGGATTATTAGGAGGCCATGATTGGTAAGGGCCAATGGGAAATTTGGCCAGGATGCCGGGGTTACACCCCTACTCTTTTCTTTTAATGACCACAAAGAGTCAGGACCTCGGTTTTACGTCTCATCCGAAGAACGGCACCTGTTTACAGTAAAGTGTCCCCGTCACTATACTGGGTCATTATGACCCTCATTGACCACAGGGTGAGCGCCCCCTGCTGGCCCCACTAACACCTCTTCCAGCAGCAACCTAGTTTTTCCCAGGAGGTCTCCCATCCAGGTACTGACCAGGCTCACACCTGCCTAGCTTCAGTGGGTTGCCAGTTGTGAGTTGCAGGGTGATATGGCTGCTGACAATCAGATAATCAGATTTACTACATTTAAACAGAAGTTTCTGGCAGAAAACGTTGCATTGGCTTAATGCTAGAGATTCTCTAAACTAGGTACAGAAACTGTGATGGAACAGCTAATTTATTTTCTTAGTAGTTAGTTTTCTTAGTACTTTTTTTAAGGATGGGATTCCACCTATCAAAAACATTATTCGTTGTAATCACTTGCCATTCCATGCCAATTAAAATTAAAATGTGAAGAAGTTGTGATACAGAAGAGAATGTTAAAAGAAATGTCAGTAAAATGATTTTCAATGTTTTTGTGACTGAACGTGTCCTAAAAATGGTTAAATCATACTACTTCTAAACAATTATAAAAAGAGAACTTTAGTATTTTTTCTCAGTGTGAGGATCACACAGTAGTTAAATATGATCTATTGGCAAGAATACTATCAATGTTTTGATACCAATGAAATTAGCATCTACTTCCCAAATTTCCTATAAGAAATGGCATAATCTGTAAACTGTTTTGTATTGTCTGATTGTTTTGTTGTCTCAGTCGCTATGACATTTTTCCTTTGTCCTTCATTTCCTTCTCTTGTCTTTTCTGTAACATCTGGGTGTTACCTATGTCAGCTACTGTATGTGAATCTAAAAGACAAACAGCCATCAAACTACATAAACATTTACCACATCTTTATATTGTTTATAAAGTTTATATTTCACTTTGCTCTTGTGGGAAGAGATGTGGGTAAACATCAAGGTTCACTAGGATAAAAGGATTTTAGTTCTCTAGTTACAAGCCATTTTTATAACCTTAATTTTAAGTCCAGTCATTATGAGAATAAAATTTTGGTGTTATGTGAATACTTTTTGACATACATACTATACAGAATACTGTAAAATAAGACTGGAATTGGCTTTGAGCTTTGTTTTAAAAAAGGGCTACTTTAGTGCAATGGAAATTATGTAGGTGTTGAAATGTGTTAGCAATATTTGGATTTAAAAATATTTGTCACCACAGTAGTTTTAAATGAAGGTATGATTTACAGACATGTGGAATGTCGTTACTATAAACATGAACAGGGTGGATAAGGGCTTTATTGAATTTGATGTCCATGTGTTCATTTGGGGTCATTATTTAGACAGGGTTAGAAAAAATGCCTAATTTTAAATTTAGGGATTTTTTTTAACAAAAAGAAAGTGTATAAAACATTTGATATACTGTAATATCA